ATATATATATATATATATATATATATATATATATATATATATATATATATATATATATATATATATATTCGATGGAAGTCCATAGCACCGACATCACCAGGAATGTTTTGATCATATGTGAGATAAAAATAAGATACAATCGAGCTGGAGACAAAGCCTGTATTACATGCAAACGTAGTGTTATTCACACCAACAAAATCAGAAACGAAGAAATATGATAATTACTCTGTTGTTGTCGGGAAGAACGCTGATAAATACTTGTCATGGCTGCCTCTGATCGAAGAACAGAAGAAGGTTTCTTTCTCTCTTCACCTCCCTTGGAACAGTGGACCGGCAATCGGGGTCGAGTCATCGTTGATCACGGCGTGGCCCTCATCTCCTTTGCGAACTGGGCTCTCTTGTGCGACGTTGTTGGCTTTCTCGTCGGAGGAACCCTCACCGGGATGTTCCATGACCGCGTCCTGCAGCTGCAAGGCGTACTCGAGGTTCCATAAGACATCGCCCATGGACGGCCGATCGACTCCGTGGTCGGCCAGGCACTTCTCCGCAGCCTCCACATACTTCTTCAGAGACGCTGGGCTGATGGTGCCAACCAGGTGGGGGTCGATGATCTTCTCCAGCTGACCCTTGCGGTGGCACTGCATCGCCCACTCCGCCAAGTTCACCTGCTCCCTTGGGAGCGCCGGGTTGATGGCGGACCTCGCGCACAGCACCTCGAAGAGCACCACCCCGAAGGAGTACACGTCCGACTTCTCCGTCAGCTGCTGGCGCCGGAAGTACTCGGGGTCCAAGTAACCGAAGCTTCCCTTCACGGCGGTGCTGACATGGGTCTGCTCCAGGGACGGGGCGGCCTTGGAGAGGCCGAAGTCGGCGACCTTCGCCACCAGGTTTTCGTCGAGCAGGATGTTGGTTGTCTTGACGTCCCGGTGGATGATGCCCTGTGAAGCACCGGTGTGGAGGTAATGCAGGCCTCTCGCGGCCCCGATGCAGACCTCCAGCCGCTGTTTCCATGATAGCGGAGGGTGGCCGGCGCTGCCGTAGAGATGGTCCCTCAACGGGCCGTTGGCCATGAACTCGTACACCAGGATCATCTCGTTGTTCTCGTCGCAGCAGCCGATGAGTGACACTAGGTGGCGGTGCCGAAGCTTCGACAGCATTTGGATCTCTGTTTGGAACTCATTGATCCCCTGCTCCGACGACGGATTCCCTCGTTTGATGGCCAATTTGGTGCCGTCGTCTTGCATGCCCAGGTAAACCTTTCCGAAACCCCCGATGCCGATCACCTCCTTCTCGTCGAAGTTCTTCGTGGCTTCCCTTACCTCCGCTAACGTGAAGATCTTGCCGAGGCCAATGGTACCGGAGGAGAAGACGCCCGAGTAGCCGCTCTTGCTCTTGTGGGATCCGAAGCGGTTCCTGTAGCTCCCTTTGCTACAGCTGCTGCTTCTGCTGCTCATGAAGCTGCACTGGCTCGCGTGGAGCGGGAGGAGCCACGACGAGAAGCTGTTCCTCTTCTGCCAATCCGCTGGCCGCCGCCTCCACCGGCAGAACATCACCACCACCAGGCCCATCGTCAAGGCGCCCAACGCGAGGCCAACACCCGGTGCAACCTTCGTCACGATGCTACCGGGGGCCGCACCGCCATGGTAAGACCCGTCCACCGCAAACAGGCCGTCCAAACTCCCCGCCGCGTTGCTCATCTTCATCACCTCGAGTCCGTTGAGGATGGCGTTGGGAGTTCCGGACGCCGAGTCGGGGGTCGGCCCGACCTGCACCAGGATGGTCGAGTTGGTTATGGTGGTGGCGTTGACGGCGAAGTCCTTGTAGTAGGCGACTGCGAGGCCCGAGGTCAACGACGAGAGGTCGAGGGTGGAGACGGCCATCAGCCCGTTGATGTACACGTTGAAGTAGAGCGTGTTGAGGCTCTTGCTGACGATGTCGCACAAGTGCATGCGGATCAAGTACGAGAAGGCTGGGTCAGCAACCATCTCCCATGTGATGTTGAAGTTGGGAACGGCCGTGTTCGAGTTGGCCATCTCATCCGCACTCGAGTAGACCGTACTCGGCGCGATCAACGGCGTCACCGACCCGTCGTCGGGGTACTTTATCGTCTTGGTGGACACCGACACGTTCTGGGCGGCTGCGGGGACCTTCAGGAATCCGCCGTCGGTCCGCCATTTCCTCCCCAGCGTGTCGTCGACGGGCACGATCTCCCGTCCCCCGACGTTGAGCCGGTAGGCGACCTCGAGAGCCAACTTGGAGACACCATTAAATTGGCCAGCGGGAGAGATGGCCGCGGCGAAATCGGCGATGAGATTGTCCGGCGCCGACACGACCTCGACAGCGTTGATGAACGCGAGGGACCCCTTCTTGGGCGCGAATGTGAGGGAGACCTTGTCGCCGGAGACGACGACCAGGTACTCCTTGACGACAGCGGAGGCCGGCGAGTCCGGGGTGAAGTCATGGAGGAGGACAATGTCGTCGGTGCTCACGGTGAAGACGGCGGACGTGAGGTTGTACTTGGCGTTTGCGAACGCGTACAAGTAGAGGCGGATCCAGTGGCGGCCGGGCTTGGAGACGAAGAAGCTGTAGGTGGAGCGGCCGTTGAAGACCCTGGCGGTGAGGTACAAAGGCGAAACAGAGGAGTCAGCGGTGGAATTGTCGGCGGAGACGTTGATATCCTCATTGGTGGAGAGTAAGGAGGAGGACTGCGGGTCGGAGCGGAAGACGCGGCCGTCATTGAGCTGGGTGCTCGTGGACGCGCCGCAGTCGAGGAGGTAGTTGTCGGAGGGTGTAAACTTCACCGAGGCCGAAGCCGACGACGCAACATTGGTGTCGGTGGCGAGGAGGAGGAAGAAGAGAAGGGAGACAACGACTGGTCTCATCGTCCCCACCCCATGCTTCTCTCCTGCAGGCATATTAGGATCGGTATGAACGCTCAAATGCCAGAATGCCCGCCGGCGTGCATGGGGAGCCCCTGACACCGGCAGCTCCTAACGCTTTGCAGTTCTGCGGACGGAATCGCAGGAGGAAGCGGAAGTAGCAGCGAGGCCGAGGAGGAAGGAGAGTGAAAGAAATAGAATTCGGGAGTCAGCTTGGTTGGAAGCACGTAGCGGAGGCGAATGCGAGCAGACTTGGGGGCGACAGGCTTCTTGATTATTCTTCAAGTTCTCGTTAAGTGGACACCCGACGTCCTACCCGCCTTGTGGGACGGGAGAGAGCGAGTGGGCCCACACACTCCCTCCAGTCAGTTGTCAGGTAAGCAATCCGAGCAACTCCCCCAGCGGCGTAGAAGCCTGAGATTGGAGGAGAAGCGTAGTGGCTAGATGGAGCGCGACGGAGGCTCGATGGGAGAAGCCAGAGTGGATCGAGATGGGGAGAAGGGACCTACCGGTATAAAGTCAATCGGACGCTTGTGGTTGGACGTGGGGGCCTCGATGCCCCGCCGCGTTCCAGCTGGGGATGTCTCCTTCCTATCCTTCATCATCATCATCATCATCATCATCTTCTTCTTCTTCTTCTTCTTCTACCTGTCAGTTAATTGCGTTGCTGTTGTTAATGAATGAAGGGGGGGCGTTCCATTGGCTGACACAGGAGAACTGGCAGAAACGATGAGAGGGACGCATCGGGAAGAGTCCTCCTAATTGGATCTCCCAAGAGGCCAGACAATAGCTTCAAAGAAAATGATTCAACCTATCATGAAATCACAGTACCAAAACCAGAGAAGATGACGCGCTTGGCCCTTCACATCACGTTGGCGTTTATAGGAATGAAGCTGTGTACATTAATTCTTTACCGATCCCTGCAGTAAAGAATTGTCTTACCAATGACCAATGGTGTCTTGTCTCAGTAGCCCAAAGCCTTTGTCTGGGGGTCTAATGGAGTCGATCATCTAACCTGTTACTCTTTTCCGTGAGTTCCTCATTTCTCGTTCCTATACTGCAAGCTGAAACGTGTAGGACTTGCTATTTCAGTATTTTTCTTAATCTTAAAAGATTGCTATCCCATAATTTTGTGTGGAAAGGCACAAATCAGTGATGCTTTCTTTCTTGGTCCTCGAGAACATGAGTGGCACTTCCTCCACGGCTGTAGAACATATAAAACACTAGGCTCGAACTAATAAATGGGACCAAATTAGTGTTTGTGCCACACATGTCTTGGCCTCTGGTCCTCCAAGATTTGAATCATCTACCTACTTATTCTTCTCATCTCTTTCTTCTACCTTGACATGGTCCATGTTCTTCAATTTTGTTACTCACCAAAATTATTAGAACCTACCGACGATCTTAAGCCGTTAATTTTTTATTTTTTATTTTTTTTTATAAATTAAAATTAATTATAAAAATCATCCATTCCAAAATATTAAAATTACAAAATCATCGATTTTGAAATATATATATATATATATATATATATATATATATATATATATAATTTTAGTTTTTCAAACCTATGAATCGAATCATCTCGAGATGATTCTCGAGCAATTAATGACTACTCTGTTTGGAATCGATAAATCGTCAGGCCGATTCGATTTCAGTTTTAGTTCGAATCGAATCAATGGAATTTTTTTTTCTTCCTATATTCTAAATATTAAGTTCAAAATTCAAAAATACATAAAATATTCTTCAAGGTAAATTATTTTTATGCTTTTTATGAACACTACATCGGCAATAATCCCTCCTGTTCTTCTTCATTCATGGACCTCAAACAGTGTGCAACCGTCGCTGCTGGGGTCCCTTCTCATGGTGAGCCAAGCAACATCGAGTTGGTTCCCGGCTTCCCCGGTTGTTTGCTACCGATGACAGCGACAGGCCACAAGGCGATCATCGCTCCTGATGGCGGCCGGCCGAGAACAGAGGAAGGAAACACAGAGAGAGGTGATGAGGTCACTGGCGACATCAACTACAGCTACTTGCAAATGCGCTTACCACAACACTGCCTGTCTTCTTCGCCCTATTTTTGATCTGTGTCAGCATCTCTGTTCCATCCCTGACGCTTCAACCAACTTCGCCTCCTCACAGGTTACTACATCTCATCCGACCAGCGATGGAAAACTACAGGAAGTTAGGTGCAACTTACAATGTCTCATGTTATCAACTGATCATGTTTGCCCTTTTCTCCTTCCTCCTTTTCTTGGCTACAGAGCGACGACAGACATGGCAGGAGGTTTGCGTTGAATCCAACACAAACATGACGGACACATGTTTGTTAAAATGCCTTGCAGCGGGCAAACGTAAAGACACGACCCCGAGTCCAGTTCAATCCACGACGATACCATAAAGAAAACATATACATACATGTGGTAGAGGCTTTTGAGGCCGAGCGGAGGGAAATGTTTCCGAAGAAAGCAGTAACAGGTGCATTCATCTCTGGACATGAGCTCTGTCTTCTTGCCAAGATTACCAACAAATGCATCATCCGAAGCTCTGTTTCCAGGGGATGTTTATAGCAAGGAGAAAACAACGAGCGTGCTGGGCTATTACTCGCTGACAGTGACAATGCCCATTCTCCTTCATCCACGCCATGACAGCGACGCTTGGAGACACGGGAATTAAATAAGAGCCCAACGGAGGCGAGTGTTTTGAGTTAGAACTCGAGAAGCGACACCGAGGCACGGTTTCTGATTCTATAGGGTTTGGGGTGGCGGTTTTGACCGACTGGGAATTGCACCGAACCCGAAGCAGCGCCACAGCGATCAGCGTCCTTCGCCACCAACAGCACGAGCCGGCACACATGCGACGGATCCCACCCCTTCGTTCTCCCATCCACGGTCGGGGTACGGCAGAGGAAGATATAGAAGCGCAGAGGTCATGGAGACGACCTCTCGGCTTCGGCTGAGACCTCCCCCTGCCCTTTCCGCTTCCAAAGAGGACTGTTTGCTGGTGCTCAGTGCGTGCTCAGTTCGAGCGTGTGGAGGGGTGAAAAGATTAGGAGAAAGACCACTGACTTGACAGCACTGCTCTCGTCTTCCCCCCCTCCCCATCCTCCCCCCGCGTCGCTTCGGGTGAAGTGTTTCCATGGAAGAAGAGGATGGATTCGACCACATGGAGGAAGGAGGATTCTTGGAGTTGCTGGGCTCCGGAGGCGAACAGAGCGGCTACCTCTTCGACGCGCCTTCTTCCCTCTCTTCCCCGTCGTCTTCTTGCTACTCTTCTCTGACAGCGGCGCAGATGCTTTGTTTCGGTGGGAAGGAAGAGGCGGCTCTTGCACCGCACGGAGCGCTTGCCCAGAGATCAGCAGACAATTCCTCCATCTCTTCCCTCTCCTCCTCGCCTAACTCCACCGCCACCACCACCACCACCACCGCCATTAATATCAACAGCGGCAGTTCTAAGACATCAAAGGTACCCGATTAAGCTCGACTTCATCCACCTATTTGCCTGTCGTCATGCTTTGTTGCTATAAACATGGCTTGGTTGGCTGATCGCCCTGTTTCACATAGAAGAAGGCCGGGAGTGGGGGAGGTGGTGGAGGGAGGAGAACAGCGAGTGTGACGACGACTTCAACCACTCTCAACGCGAACAAGAAGCCAAAGACTGAGGCCTGTGCTTCTGCTAGTCATGGCGCTATCAAGGTGTCTGTTCTTCAACTGTTCAGTACTCGGTCTACGTAATTGGTCCTTTTACATTGGTTCACGGGTTGTTCTACCGTTACTGTTTCCCATTGATAAGATTGGGTGCGAACCATGTGCAGGTGAGGAAGGAGAAGCTGGGAGATCGAATTATGGCATTGCAGCAGCTGGTGTCTCCCTTTGGCAAGGTCTCTTGCATCATCAATCTCCTCTTCTTTGCTTTGCTTCTCTTCTCATTCTCGTTTGCACTTAATTGCAAGAGGCCGCCTTTGCTTCTTGTTGTCTCTGCCTCTTGGTGTTGGTGTTCACCAACAACAAGCAATCATACAAGGTATCAGTTTTCTGGTCCCTTTTGACCTTGACCGACCCTGTGCAAATTTGGCAGTCTGATACGGCCTCGGTCCTGCACGAAGCAATGGGCTACATCCGCTTCCTGCATGACCAAGTCCAGGTATATACGTGTACCCTCCCTCTCGCTCTCCTTCTCCCTCTCCCATCGATACATGTTCTTTCCGTCTCTCGTATTAATGAAGAGCTCTCTCTCTCTCACTCTTACAGTTCCGTGTTGTTTTGTGTCAGGTTCTGAGCTCTCCGTACCTGCAAGGCATGTCATCTTCGGATCACATCCAAGTATGAAGAATTAGACAATGTTTTTACTGCTTCAGCTCTCATCTTTAATTTGAGCAAACGTAGGTGATTTATTTGGTGTCGATCGTGATGATGAAGGATGGGCGAGGGAACGATCTGAGAAGCCGGGGCTTGTGCCTGGTCCCCATCTCATGCACGGAGCACGTAACAAACAGCAATGGTGCTGATCTATGGTCCCCGGCCATGGGAGGTGGCGAGCCCTCTCCTTCTCCTTCTTCGAAGCACTAAGCAAGCGTCTTCTCTTCTTTCCTTGGTGTAGTGTACTCTTTTCTTCTTGTGTTTTGGGCCTCTTCTCCTTGTTTGTCTTTTAACACCCCGTCTCGGGTTGCTGCTTGTTCTCTCCAGGCGTGGGAACATTAACAGAAGAAAAAGGAAGCTAATCATACATACATAGGGTAAGTATGGCTTCTCAACTTCATATAGCTTCAGCATATTAACTTGCTTCTATAGAAGAAGAAGAAGAAAAAAAAAAGGCATGTTTAGAAGATAATTAACACCAGGAAGAAGCAAAACAGCAATTTTTTGTGGGGTTCTCCCTCTGTTCTTCTATTGTACTGCTTTCAAGTTGGAAGGTGGGAGTTTTTCGTGTTTGATTAACCACATGAAGAGACCTCATGTTGCTTTCAGAAAGGATCGGAGACCTAACTTGCTCGAACTCGTTGCGTTTTGACTCTTGGGATTATTCGGAATCTATGCATCATCCCTTTGTTGACTTTAAACCTCATGTTGGTTGGAGTTGCATACATGCACTGAGATTTATCTTCACCTCACAATCAACAAGTTGTAGCTGTTGCACAAAATTGAAGGGAAGGGAAAACGATGAGACAATAGTTTTACACCGGTAGTCACTCTTGCTCATTTGAGGGGGGTTTGCATGAGAGCAAACTGTGTTTTACTGATGATGAGACTCTCAACTGGACTTGTAAGTGTTTGGGTTTGATGGAAGAGGCAGGCCACCACTCTCAAGCTAAATATAGATATATCCCTACTCGAGGGATAAGAGCGACTTAGATGTCGTGGACCCTCCGAGATCGGGTGGACGGGCTTTTCGATCCGATTCCTTCTATACTCAAGTCAATAAAATAAAGAACAGAGTAATTCTAGTGAATAGTTATTAACTTTGATCTCTAGCGGGTTTAACCTCGGTTGGGTTGTCATGTGTAGAGATTGTATTGGAGTGAATATTTCTTTTATATATCATTTGTCTCCCCCCAAGATTTATTTTCAGAATTCTCTTAGAGCGATTCATTTATCTCTCTAACGCTTCGCTTAGTGTGGTCCGGGGCGGGTGTGTCGAATGGTGGGAGGAAACAACACACCACGTAAAACTATTACAACATTGCTTAGGAGTTTACATTATGTTGTGGGAAACAACTTTGAGAGCCGTGGCCTCGGGGCTGACATGGCTCGGTTCGAGTCCGGACGTCGGGATCTCTCCGGGGCGTGCCTCGAGCCCGCGGGGTCGGTCCGGTGCGATGGTCCAATCAGGACGGGGTCGTCGTCTCCTCCGGGCAGGGGCTCGTCGTCTGCGCGCCCGGCGGGAACCCTCGGTTTCGTACCTGCACAAAGGTCGGATCGAGCAAGTTAGCAGAAAATGTGGAGGGGGTCACACATACGACAGTGGAGTACCTCGATTGGTTGATCGACTAGTCCATCCACTTCAACACGTGATGGAGGGTGGAGGGCTTGATCGTCGCGTAGAGTAGCTCGATTGATCCGTCCACTTACCTTGGCTGATCCGATTGCCAAAGCACCCACTTCACTGCAGGAGAGAGAGAGAGAGAGAGAGAGAGTTTCAGCCAGCTTGTTAACAAGCCAAGGCTCCTACATCATGTAGTTGTTGTCACCGGGACGCATGGGTTCAGCAGATGTGTGCAATTTCAATATTGCAAACAATCTGACAGAGCATGTGGCGACCATGTCCGAGAAGACGAAGAGGGCGTCGCGGTGGAGGGTGTAGGCGTGGACGCCGGCAGTCGAGCCGAGAGGTGGATCGGCCGACAGGTCGGACTGACCCATGGGGTGGTGGTGGAGCTTCGCTCGGAGAATGGTGGCGTGGAAGGACCAGTGGCACGAGGGCGACGGCCCAATGCGGGCGGGCGTCTCGGCGGCGTGCTCTTTCCTGCCACCATCCCGTGCGCCTCGTCCAAGTACTACCGTTAAATGACATGGTCACATGCGTTTTCGGTGAGCTTACCACCTGCCACACAAGGAGAAAGCGCCTTCGAAAAAAATTAAATCTTTCCAAAATCGTCCATGAAATGGTTACTTACTCTCACCTGCGGTCACCGGACTCGACTGCCAAGGACCGGATGGATGCTGACTTCGGGTGTAATGGGTTCACGTCGTGCCACAATCCTGTGCGCCTCGTCCAAGTACTGTCGGGTGAGAAGGTCACTTGCGTTCACGGTGAGCTTACCACCTGCCGCACAAGGAGAGAGTGCCTTGGAAAAAAAATTAAATCTTTGCAAAATCGTCCAAGAAATGGTTACTTACTCTCACCTGCGGTCACCGGACACGACTTCCAAGGACCGCACGCTCACGCTCACGCTCACTTGAGGTTACAACGGTTCATTTTTCGGGCCTTAATCGGACTCGCGGCGACCAAACTCTATAGGATCGAAGACGGTAGTCCGATGTCCGCATTAGCTTACCCCCAACACATTTGACTCGGTAAATGCCATCAAAGCAATTAAAACGTTGCAAAATAGGACAATTTTTCGCGTGCTTACAAATCGACTCCGGTGTGCAGACTCACCGATATGCCAAAGTTCCACCCGAAACATAACACGCATATACACCAGTGGGCAAAAACATCCACATGAAATCCCCTACAAAAAAAGATTGATCAAACTATACACCAAACTAATCGGACTTTCAATATAAGAACCCATCCATCCATCCATCCATCAATAGCTGGTGGATAGCCAAATGCCGTTCCATAGTAGCACCCCCCATACTACTTGCCGAATGAGGTTCCTCACCTCAGTCGGGACAGACACTTGCCATGCTAAAATGGCTGATGATGATGACTGTTGGTACAACATGGTTCAATCAATTTTTTTTGTTAGGTTAGTGTACAAGTACAAACAAGGATATCAGACCGCTTCCATCGCTGCCCAACCTCTTGAGAAGAAGAAGAAGCAGCGGGAGGAGATTTCTCCTGCCAGCGAGCACCCCATCAGCAATGTCAATTTGCTCAGAACTGCCTCAATGTCTGTAATCGACTAACGGATTGTCTTGAGTTCAGAAATGTTTTGGGCGAACAAAGCTTGCAACTAAGTTTCGTCACTCCAAACCTCAGACGCATCCACCAGACTGCAATCCTGCTCATCGGAATGCAAGTATCTTAACCTACTATTTCTTCTCCTTCTCAGCTCCCATCCCCACGCCTTCCGCCCGTCGTTTGTCTGCTGTTTCTTTTTTTAGGTTCAACTTCATTCTTCCAATTATGTGCTTCGGGTGATCCTTTCTCATTGCTCACATTGGCAGAGGAGCCTTCAGTGTTCCCTTTGCTCGACTTAGTGTTCTTTCTGCTGAGTTTGATCAAGGTGTTTCCTCCAACGGGATTAGCAGATCAGGTCCTTTATCAGGAATCGTTCGAGAAGTTGCTGCAAAACCATCTCCTGATCTGCAGAGGAAGCATCATAGCAGTACAGTTGTGTGTTCAGAAGAAAGAAGAAAGGGTTAGACAAAACAAGAAACAGATAAAACAGTGAAAGAAAAGCAAGATGTAGACCTTTCTAGCAGTCACCCCTGGTTCTCCTGCAAAACCTTCTTTTGCCTCATGGTTAGGATATTAATTTTCTTTTAAGATTTCCTTAAGTTTCTGCAAACATATATAATGATCGATTCACATGTTTCCCAATAGAGGTTTTAGTCACTATGGGCTCCGACAAGATACATGTAATAATAGTGTAATAACTCGACTTCAGTTCCACATCAAAAGCAGAATAAAACTTAAGTTAATAGGTATACTATCATCGACTTGAACTTAAGTATTTTGGACCAATGATTCATGTTTGAAAAAGTTATTAGGCCATGAATGGAATCAAAACCAACAAATAATAATTCAAATAGAAAAGGAATACCTGTGGCCATGACCAAAGGGTCATGATAAGAGCCACTGCTGGGTTGGGCTTTGTGTGCACCGTACTACAGTTTTGGATTTGATTCACCTTGATCTCACATGGGAACACGAAGAAGAGTTAAGTTAGTCTATTTAGTTTCTAAGCGATTTAGACTTAAACATTTTGACCGGTGATTCAAGCTCAACAAAATTTAATAAATTAATGGATCGATTATCCCATTGAAACCGCATCATTATAATAGTACAAAAATCAATGAAAAAGATCCTTTATGGCATGATCATTAACAGTAAAGCAACAACAAAGTAAACCATGCGCTTCCCATGAAAGTACTGGATAGTGAAAGAAACACTCTCCATTATTGAAAAGGCTAGAACATATGTACAGCAGCAGCCATGATATCAGGGAACTTACGATGGGAACAAAAGCAGGAAACCAGATGCCCTGACAATATTGAGAGATGCATAAAGCAAACAAAGGGTTTACTAAAAATTCATTGTCACAATTTCATTGACTCGTTCAGAGTCCTGACATAAACTATCCAAAGAATAGGCAATCAAAAACATATACGTCCAGTCAATTACTTCTATCTACATTCATATATTGATTGATATTTAAAACAAAACCTGCAAATATAAGATGGAACTCATCATTTTAGCAACACTCATTCTCACTGTTGAAGGTTCAAAGAACCAAGGTGCAGTGAAGTGCCAACCTATACATGTACACATAGCAAAGCAAGACACATATCACCACATTAAAGATGGGACAAACCTAATATTAATTAAGTTCACTAATTTATGTGCAAAAATGTATTGTGGCTCACTAATTGAAGTATAGAATGTTGTATCAATTAGACGAAGAAAACAACATTGATATACGAGAAAAGAAAAAAAAAATAATGACAAAAAGAAAGGATATAGGAGCGAGGAGGATGACTAGACATGTCCTTGTTTAGTGACATAACCCTTCCCAACTAAGGTAAAAAACTTCTCCGGTAGCTGGTCTCCTTTCTTTTCTCAAAGAACATTACTTTGATCACATGGATCACACAGATCTTACATGTATTAATGACAACAAAACTGGTAACATTATAGTTTGTAACATCTCACTAGACTCTTAGATCACACCTTAAGCACACCCCTACTGAGACTGATGCTCATGATAGTAGTTTTATGTTGATCAAAGACGAAACACGAGGTGCCCAAACTCGACCTCGATCCAGAGAACATTTCATCTAGAACATAGAACTAAAGACTTTGAGCTAAGCCTAGTTAAAGGGTAAGCCTAATACACAAGGTGCCAGTGCAAGGTTTGGAGAGTTGGTGTATACAACTTTACCCCACAAACAGAGAAACCTTCTAGTCTAGCTAAGATTAGTCTAACTTGAACTGATTGCCAAAGAAAAGGTTTCAAGAATGATGGTCATCTCATAACATGAGGGAAAGAAAAGGGAAGGAAAACATGGGCACTAGCCCCAAAATTGCAAGCATGTCAAAGATGCCTAGGCCTCCAATGCACCTACAAGTTAGGCAAAAATCATCTAACACATCATATGAAAAATTAATTTGCCCGTTCAAAGCCACCATTTTGTATGAGTTCATTCATCAAGGTATAATATTGTTACACATTTCCTGCTCCATGAGTAATAAACCAGTTTGCTTTCTTGTGCATGAATGAAGAACTATTGCCATTAAACACATAGCATAAAAGAACAGAATTTAGGTCCAATGTAACGATAAGCACTTTTAGGGCTAGATTAATATTTTTTATTATTTAGGATGACAAAAAGGTCTAATAATGTAGGGGCAATATTGGAAAAAAATAATTAAGATTTTCTACTTATTTTCTACTTAAGGAGGACCCCCACCCCTATTTTTTCACCTTGGACACGTGGAGCCATCGTTGTTGGTGGCAGCAGCTCAGCCTCATCAAGATCAAGGAGCCCTAAATTTAGAGACAAATAAGGGGATCAACAAAGGGATCCGGTAAGATCTCTTTAATTTCGATTTAACGAGTAGTGCAGTTTTTTCTTCCTTCTTTTGGTAAACCCTAAAATCCAAACCCTAGCTAACCCTCTCTCAAAAACATCTCATGAAGTATTTGGTTTTTGACTTCTTTTTGTAAATATTAGCATCGTCTAAAGTAGCCCGGTTACATTTTTCTCATCTTTAGATTTTGTTGCTTCTTTGGTGTCATTCCCATCTCAAACAAATATTTTAACTCTTCAAACTAAGCACATTTATAAACATTAACTTTAATGTATCTTTACTTCAAAATATGTGTATTTTGTCATACTCATCATATAAGAAACACATTCAACAACCAACGAGTTAATTGTATTATACATTAAGATGTGGACTACTAAATGCTCGATTCAAGCCTCTTAGTATCTACGTATACCTATATTCCCAGGGACTAGATTGATCCCACCAAATGACTATGGATTGAGCTAACTTGAGTCTAACCTCATCACCCCAAGTAGCACAAAACAAAGGCATTCAAGGTGTACGCATACAATATGTTATAGCAACATGTCACACCATACAAGCACAACTAGAAGTCCATAACTCTAGTTGATAACAACCTAATCTACATAGTCCATGAGTTTCAACACACATAAAAAAACATCCAATTCAAATGAAAAGCAAGTAACAAGAATGCTACTGTCAAACAGTCTCCAACAGTTTATTACTTCTATATTTGCTTTTTAATAGAGGTCTTGGACCCATTCATTTGACTTAGTCGCTGCCACTTCCTGATTATTAGTCGTTCCATTCATGCTTGTGTTGAGTTCATGATTTTCACTTATATTTAAAGCTGGTTCTGTCACAAGCATAGAGATATCTTCATTTGAAAGAAAAATCAACAAGAGTGAGACGAGTATTTACAAAAAATACTCAATAAGCGCACACGCCTCCCTCGTAGGGCGACTAAGCAAAAATTTAAACACGTTATAACTATTCATGTCACATCAAAAAACATAATAATATATATATATATGATATACTTTTCATATTCCTTTTAGAAAATATAATAACTAGATAGTCAAGTACGCACTAAACCCAAGGGAATCAAACTCCACCCTGTGGACAATAACCTTGGTGGACTTAAGTGTCACCCCACATGTCGGATTACGAGTTTACCACCCAAGGGTACTTTTCTCAGAAGATGATAGTATATTACCTTAGAAAATCATCTTATAACATTTTTTTTTTTATAATTCTCCCTACAAGACTACTACCAGGTATCACTTATACTACCTCATTGCCTCTGCCTCGGTGGACTTAAATGTCATCCCTTCTATCATAAACAAAGCTATATATTAGGTGTTCGATGTAATGCTCGCGTATGTCCGTGTCTTTCGGTTTTGTTCATGCTTTGTACAACATGTAGAGGGCTTGCAGTAGATTTGGCAGCCCCATTTTAGTTGGCTTTTGTGGTCATTTTAGGCTTGTAAAACGCAGGTTGTGTGCAATCGACATGCAGAGGAAAAACTACTCAATAACAGGCCATTCAGGCAACCATTTTGAGGGTTTTCTAGCTTCGCAGATTGGTACGAAGTGTCAGCCAACATAACACCCAGGAAACTACCCGAGTGGCACATAGCTAGATGAGCCTTTGGGGTAGTGTCTAAGGTTGGTTCACTGTCTTGTTCTACAACAATGTCATATGGACACTTATGGAGACTTTTGACAATGGCAGACCACCTTGGACCCTTTGTTGTTCGACCGTTCAGAGCTTATAAAGTCTATGTTTGTACTTTGCATTGTCTATTAAGTACTTGCTGAAATGACTGCTTGTGGATCATGAGTTAAACACATCCTCTAACTCGTCTTTTCTTTTGCAAGTTCTTAAGGGACCATAAAAGGTTTCGGGGAGGCTGACCCTTTGTGGACAGACACGCAAGGGTGTTGTACGACTTAGACAAAATCAGCTAAGTTTATGACACTTCGACGGTTCAAAAGTTTACCACCCTTAGAATCCCTGATGAGGTATAAGGCTTTGTAGTGGAACTAATGAGAACTAACTTGAATATATATATATATATATATATATATATATATATATATATATATATA